ATATCTGTATATGTCTGTGTGTGTATGTGTGTGTGCGTGTGTATCTGTATATGTCTGTGTGTGTATGTATGCATGCGTGTATCTGTGTGCGTGTATCTGTATATGTCTGTGTATGTGTGTGCGTGTGTCAGTATATGTCTGTGTGTATTTTTTATATCTGTATATGTCTGTGTGTATATGTGTGCACGTATATCTGTATATGTCTGTGTGTGTATGTGTGTGTATATCTGTATAAGTCCGTGTGTCTATGTGTGCGCGTGTATCTGTGTATGTCTGTGTGTGTATGTATGCTTGTATCTGTATATGTCTGTGTGTATGTTTGCATGTGTATCTGTACATGTCTGTGTGTGTATGTGTGCGTGTGAATCTGTATATGTATGTGTGTGTGTGAGTATTTGTATATGTCTGTGTATGTGTGTGCGTGTATCTGTATATATATGTGTGTGCGTGTATCTGTATATGTATGTGTGTGCGTGTATCTGTATATGTCTGTGTGTGTATGCGTCTGTGTGTGTATCTGTATATGTGTGCGTGTGTATCTGTGTGTGTGTATTTGTATATGTCTGTGTGTATCTGTGTGTGTATCTGTATATGTCTGTGTGTGTATGTTTGCATGTGTATCTGTATATGTCTGTGTGTGTATGTGTGTGCGTGTATCTGTACATGTCTGTGTGTGTATGTGTGCACGTGTACCCGTATATGTCTGTGTGTCTATGTGTGCATGTGTATCTGTATATGTCTGTGTGTGCGTGAGTATCTGTATATGTCTGTGTATGTGTGCGTGAATCTGTATATGTCTGTGTATGTGTGTGCGTGTATCTGTGTATGTCTGTGTGTGTATGTGCATGTGTATCTGTATATGTATGTGTGTGTGTGAATCTGTATATGACTGTGTATGTGTGTGCATGAATCTGTATATGTCTGTGTATGTGTGTGCGTGTATCTGTATATGTCTGTGTATGTGTGTGCGTGTCCGTGTGTATCTGTATATGTCTGTGTGTGTATGTTTGCTTGTATCTGTAAATGTCTGTGTGTATATGTGCGTGTGTGTATCTGTATAGGTCTGTGTGTATATGTGTGCGTATGAATCTGTATAGGTCTGTGTGTGTATGTGTGCGCGTGTATCTGTATGTGTGTGTATGTGTGTGTGCGCGCATATCTATATATGTCTGTGTGTGTATGTGCATATGTATCTGTATATGTATGTGTGTGTGTGAATCTGTATACGTCTGTGTATGTGTGTGCATGAATCTGTATATGTCTGTGAATGTGTGTGCGTGTATCTGTATATGTCTGTGTATGTGTGTGCGTGTCCGTGTGTATCTGTATATGTCTGTGTGTGTATGTTTGCTTGTATCTGTATATGTCTGTGTGTATATGTGTGCGTGTGTATCTGTATAGGTCTGTGTGTGTATG